TAAAGAGATAATATGCAAATTGACCACCACACCCTCACACAAGATGGCCACCCCCATGTGGGCATAAGATGGCCACCCCCATGTTGTCACAAGATGGCTGGCAGGGGAGGGCAGTTGTGGGCAATCAGGCCAACAGGGGAGGGCAGTTGTGGATGACTGGGCCAGCAGGGGAGGGCAGTTGGGGGTGACTGGGCCAGCAGGGGAGGGCAGTTGAGGGCGATCAAGCCGGCAGGGGAGGGCAGTTAGGCATCGATCAGGCTGGCAGGGGAGTGGTCAGGGGGTGATCAGGCTGGCAGGCAGAAGCGGTTAGGGGCAATCAGGCAGGCAGGCAGGCAAGCGGTTGGGAGCCAGCAGTTCTGGATTGTGAGAGGGTAAACTGGCAGTTGGACATCCCCCGAGGTGTCCCAGATTGGAGAGGGTACAGGCTGAGCTGAGGGACACCCTCCCCCCCCCCAGTGCACGAATTTCATGCACTGGGCCTCTAGTGGGAGAATAGAAGAGGGTCATTTCAGGCATAGATGGGGCTCATGGAAGGCTTCCTGCAGGAGTGACAAAAGCTGAAGATGAGAAAGAATTGATAGATAAGAAAGGCCTGAGACAGGAGGCTCCACACATCTATTCCTGTTACCCCTGTTTGGCACAGCAGAGGCCTGATTAGGTATAGCAGGCAGTCACTAAATATTTGTTGCATGACTGAGGAAGGGCTACTAAGGTGCTCTCCTTCCCAACTATGCTGCTTGCATTTAGCAGGCCATTTGGAGACACGATAGCTTAACCCTATGCAAATATTTTGGGCGGGAGCAGACTACTGGGAGGGAAAGCTGGGTGGCAGATGGTGCCTCAAATTAAAAGCTCCTAGGTGGCTGCCCCCTCTATATTCGGCACCTGTGTTATGTCACTGGCTGGGAATAGTGCAAGAACAACCCAAGGAAATAAATGCTGCTGACAATCTCCTTCGCTCCTGTTACGAGTGGAATTTGCACTCTCATCTGGGCTCACTGAGGGTGTGTGGTGCTCTGTGGAGGGGGAAGCACTCTTGGCAGCTCATGGGTCCAAAGTGAGCCTCAGCTTCAACCGGTGGCCAGAGAGGAAGCTGCAGAAGAGAGTTTGGGCGAAACCCAAGTGAGCATTAGCTCACTATCTTCGTCAGGTAAGACACTCTAAAACAGTGGTTCTCAACCTTCCTGATGCCGCGACCCTTTAATACAGTTCCTCATGTTGTGGTGACCCCCAATTTCATTGTTACAAATTGAACATAATTGAAGCATAGTGATTAGTCACAAAAACAATATGTAATTATATATGTGTTTTCCGATGGTCTTAGGCAACCCCTGTGAAAGGGTCGTTCGACCTCCAAAGGGTTCGCGACCCACAGGTTGAGAACCACTGCTCTAAGGCCAGATGGGATTTTCTTTGAGCCTCTCTCTACTGCTCTAATGAGAGAATGTACTGATTTGTCACTTTCTCTTGTCAAAATATGTTAGATGCCGTCCTGCAAAGTGACACCGTTCGGAAAGCAGTGGGGAGAAATAACTCACAGAGCACAGCGACGTCCCTAACGTTGACTCTAGTATCTTATTTTTTTTTTTTTTGCAGTAAATAATGTAGCCAGAAATAGGATAAAGATGTTTTATTTTGGATTTTTGTTGACTAGGATTCTGGTAGAATGGAAGCTTTCTCCATTGCCCTCGCCTCTAACCCCCCGAATAACAGATCAGTCCACACAATTTCCAGTAGAGACTTTGCTCCAGTAGCTCCGTCATTAAAAATAGTTGACAACCGCTGCTAATTTCTTTTCTGAGCCACAGCCTCCTGCCCTCTGCCTCCCGCCTCCTCCAAAACAGCCTGAGCGGCGGGACGGTGACTGGGTGCCAGTGGCCTGGGCGCGCAGTTGGGGTGGAAGGCGGGGTCCCTTGTCGCGCTCCCCAAAGTGGAAGTGTCCACATGCTCTCGCCCTCCGTAGGTGAAACGGGTTTGAAAATCATTTTGACGCAGGGCTGGTACTGCCACACCTTTGCAATAATTAGAGAAAAGCATCATCCTGGGCAGAGGCAGCCCCCTCCAGGATGCAGGGCTTGGCAAGGGGAGCTTACGCCCTTGTGCGGGAACAGTCCGCAGAGGCGTGCACGGTGCCCTGCTCTGATGTGCGCCTTAAACCATGCTGATACTGTTACTGCAGATGGTGGCTGCAGACAGGAATGCTGGGTAGATTTGTTCTTGGTGCAGTGGCTTTCTTCTTTGCTTTCCGCTCCTCTTACTTCTCTCTACCCGGTACCTTTGAGCTGGACCGCCAAAGTCAGCACAGTATCCGGGTCTCTCTTCTTAGACTGCAGCTTCTTCCTCCTGTCTTTCATTCGAAATGACTTGTTCCATTTCTCCAAAACCCTCCCAGGGAGCAGGAATTAATCTGGTTAATAAGTTGGTGCTAAGTTGCTAACGGTTGATAATATACCACTCTTTCAATAGAACCTCGGTGAATATTTATAGTTTGGGCAACAGCATGTACTTTTTAGTGGAGACTTTCAAGACCTTAACCCAAAGAGATGGATGCTGTGAGCTTCATGTCCTGTGGCATGGCCAATAGAAAGATGTTTTAGGCTGAGTTTTCTTGCATGTCTCAGGAACACTATTTAGGTAGGTAATATCCTTATACAAGGCGTGAATTCAGTTGATAACCCAAAGTGGTCTTCAGAAGTGTTGAGCAAATTTGAGAAGCATACTTACAAACATTTCAAGGTTTTTTTTTTAAATACTAATGATACCATTCTAACATTTTGTAGAATGCAAACTGTATTTGCTTTACTTGCTACACCTTTTTCCTTTTTACTCAATGGCTTGTGAATTTGCTCTACTTATTAAAATTTAGGGTTAGGTATAGTAAAATTATTTGCACTCTTGTCCCTAAAACCCCAAAGTCCTGGAGTTTCTTCTCAGTCATAGCTTGATCCAGAAGCTCTTATGATGTAATCAGGCCCTGGTCTCCTCCCCTTTGCTCCTCTCTTGCCCTTTGATCTTCAGTGATCCTCTATTTTTACCCTCTACAGTTTTAAAAAAATTGTTTTGAAATAACTTTAAACTTATAGAGAAGTTGCAAAAAATAGTAATAGTTGAGCAAGTCCCTTACCCAGCCTCCACTAACATTAATATCTTGCATGACAATAGCACAATGATCAAAACTAAGAAATTACATTGGGATAATACAAATAAACTAATGACTTTATTTGAATTTCACCAATTTTTCCACTAAAGTCTGTCCTAGCATCCAATCAAGGACCTCAAATCTCATTTAGATGTCACTGCTGCTTGATTCTGTGACATTTCCTTAATCTTTTTTTGTCTCTCATGACCTTGACCCTTTTAAAGAGTACTGGTCAATTAGTTTGTAAAACGTCCTTCAATTTGGGTTTGTCTGATGTTTTCTCATGATGAGACTGAGGTCATGCATTTATGATAAGAATACCTCAAAAATGACATACTCTTCTCAGTTCACCATATGATGTCAGATGTCATGTTCTGGTAATGTTGATCTGAAGTGGTGTCTACTGACTTTCTTCAATGAAAAGGTATCATATCTCCCTTTATAATTAATAATTATATGGGGGGAGATACTTTGAGACTATGCAAATATCTCACTCATTTCTCCTCAAACTTTTGCCCACTAATTTTAGAAACCATTGGTGAATATTGCCTGCAATAATAATAATTATATTATTCTTTTAAAAAATTTACCTTTATTATTGAAAGTTATACAGATATACCCCTTTTACCCTCATTGACCTCTTTTAGCTCATTCTCTTCCCACTCCCTAGGCCTTCACCATACTATTTGTGACAATGGGTTATGCATATATGTATATAAGTTCTTGGGTTAATCATTTCTCACCCACTCACTTAACCTCCACCTTCCCTCTGAGATTCCTCAGTCTGTTCCATGTTTCTATGTCTCTGGATCTGTTTTGTTCATCAGCTTATTTTGTTCTTTAGATTCCACATGTGAGTGAGATCAATTATTCTAATAGTAATTTTCAATTTCCCTTATTCCATCTACATTATTGATTGAAATTTTTCTGTAAGAAGAGCTGTCCCTTCTCCACTTATTAATTCAATTATTTATTGGTATAGTTATGGACTTATGAATGTTTTAATTCTAGGATTATAATCCAGTACTCTCATTATTTATCTTCTTGCTCATATTGTCCCAGTGTTAGCCAGTGAGAGTTCTTTCATGCCTTTTGATTTGCCTCCATCCTTTATGGACCTTCACCTACTTTTTAGCACTATGAGATAATACAGACTCATGTTTTCTCTACCTCAGCTATGAAATCAATTGCTTCTCCAAGGAGCCCTGGTTCCTTTTATTGGAGAATGATGATTAGAACCTAAGATCTGGGTGGTAGGTATGCTCATTACTACTGGGGTGTTGCTGCATCCAGGCCTCCTCAGAAGACAAGGCTAGGAAATATACTAACCCATGCACGCACACACACATCTGTATTTATTTCTGTCTGTCTGTCTATATATTAAAACAAAACATGAATTCATACTAGTACCTCCAATTCCAAACCAAAATCTCAGGACTGTTCAATTAACTCCCCCTTTTCCCTTATTTTTAACTGCTTTTTCTGACAGCAAGAAACTTGCCTTTCTTATCTACAATATATTTGCCTATTTGCTCAATTCTAATAAAAAACATACAGTCACCAAGTTGTTAACTGATGCCCCCTGTAGGACCACACCTTCTATTTTGACTCTACATTGCTTTTTGCAAGCCTCTCTCAATCAGGTTCTCTCCATGTGGTGGCCCCAGCATCTTTGAGTTTACATTCTCCTAATAACCCTTTTTAAAAAATATATATATTTTATTGATTTTTTACAGAGAGGAAGGGAGAGGGATAGAGAGTTAGAAACATCGATAAGAAACACTGATTAGCTGCCTCCTGCACACCCCCTACTGGGGATGTGCCTGCAACCAACGTACATGCCCTTGAGCGGAATCGAACCTGGGACCCTTGAGTCCGCAGGCCGACGCTCTATCCACTGAGACAAACCAGTTAGGGCTCTCGTAATAACTCTTAAAGAAGATGCTTCTTTTTCTTTCCTGGGAGTTCCAGGAAAAGTTCCAAGACGGGTTCTTACTGGACTGATGGGGTTCAATGGTCACCCTTGATCCATTTACTGTGGCCAGAGGAATGGAACAACTTGGCTGGTCATGCCCAAGAAACGTGCCCACCCCTGAGACTGGGAGGCGGTGACTGTCCTACTCAATCCACGGGGAATAGTGTATACAAGGGATGGTTTTCCAAAGGAAAATAATTCTGGGCATGTTAAACCTACTCAAGCCCACCCGTGCCAGCCAGTGGAGCAGTATGCCCATAATTGAGAGGCATCAATCGGGATGACCACAAAAAGGTGAATTTTTAAAAGTGTACGTAGAGTTGATAGGGAAAGGAACATTGCTCCCATTTAACAAGAGTTATTCCCAGGCTTGACCTAATTTAAGAGGAAATAAAGAGAAGCTTGGTAACTTGAATGCTTTTTGTCCAAATTCATGCAGAAACGACGATATGGCTTCTAAGCTCTGTTTGGTTTCAGCAGGTCAGTCCACCCGGGATTTGGGCAGCTGCTACCTTGTAGCCAGGACTCCCCCTTGAGATTGGAGGGGCCCGTTGGGCCTTGAGCTGCTGCCCGCAGATTTGAGATCACTTTTTATGATACTAATCAAATGGCTACAGCTTAAAGCTTCTCTACAGTAGAAAAACTTCGAAATTCAATCTGCTCTTGCAAGATTGGAAAGCCACAGAAAACCTAAGTAAGAGGGAGAGGTTATTTTTAGATGTAGCGTTAACAATTAACTATTTAGTCTTGGGCTGTTAATGTATTCGAAATTTTTCAGGACAGACTTCTTTGGGGTTGTACTTGGTCTGATCTCACACCCTAAAAAGAAACCAGCTGAGAGAGAGAGAGAGAGAGAGAGAGAGAGAGAGAGAGAGAGAGAGAGAGAGAGAGAGAGTGTCCCAGGGACAAATGTGGGCTCTGTTAGCCTCGTTCTAGGCAGGGCTACTATTTCCCTTGGTTTGCTTAGTAACCATTCTGCCAACTATCTCTCCCTCTTTTACAGCCTTCTATCTAATTAATACTTCGCTTACACAGAAAGAAACTTCTTTAGTTAAACATGGCATTTCATTCATCTAGCATTCTGCTAAAAATCACATTTTAACAAGACTTTGCATCTCCTAGCCTCTTTTAAAAGTCATTTATCTTTAAAGGGGCTTGTCCCTTCTCGCCTCTGAGTAGTTAGAACGCACCAACCATAGACCACAATAGTTTTTATGCAGCTACTCGGTGGTTTAATCACAATGCAAAAGCAACATTGCTAATCTGGACAATCTACATGGATGACAACTCATGGAAATAGCTATTAATTAACACCATAATTGTCACTTACACGTTGCCAACATTAAAATAGGCAATTGTTACTTCTATGAGGCTTTGTACTTTTCCCCTTCTTCTCTTCACAGGGCTTAAATATAGGGCAGGGGCCAAGATTGAAACGTTTAAACTGATGACCAAGTTCATTGTTGGTTTAATCATTAGATCATCTTTCCTTTGGGTTGTACAGAAATGAAAACAGTGGTGTTCGTCATAAAATTTCACTGCAGGCGTGGTGGGTCAACTGTGCTTTGGCTCTGAAATCTACAGCATCAAATGTGTTGCCAGGTCTATATTCTCTTTAATAGGGGCCATTGTAGACAGAGTGTGACATGTGAGTTCTCTCCTATTTTGTTCCATCAAGATCGTGTCAAAGAAAAGCCAGCCTCTACATGAAGGTAAAGTCCATTTTTGCTAAAGCAGCTGAAAAGAATTTAGTCCAGCATCATCAAGATAATAGCCTCAGTGTCCTCCTCTCTACGCTGTTTCAACATAGCACACCCCACCTCCCGCTTTTGTGAGTGTGTGGCCAAAAGTACAGAAGGAAAAGAATCCGATTCCGTGGAGGAAGGGCATTGTGAAGATCAAAAGTGCCACGACCACCGTCCGTGTTGCATAGCTCTCACCTGGCAGAAGACAGGCATCAGGTGGAAAGCATTTCCTGGTCATGCAGCAACTACATGAACTGCCTAAAGCCTGGCCAGCATGGCTCAGTGGTTGACCTAAGAACCAAGAGGTCACAGTTCGAGTCCCAATCAGGGCACATGCCTGGGAATCAATGATTTTCTCTCATTATTGATGTTTCTATCTCTTTCTTCCTCTCCCTTCCTCTCTGAAATCAATATATATATATATTGATCATATTATATGTATTTGTATTATATAAAGAACTGCAAAAAAGCCACAATTCCAACTCACAATAGGGCACAAGTCACTACATGGTGCACAATCACACTCCATGAATCAAGCCCTGGAACTAGCTAAAATAGGAACTAGGACATAAATCCACGGGCTCTTTGGCATTGGGACAATTCATCTGTGTGTCATCAGGTGGTACTTCTCCATTTGAAGACAAAGTTTGACTTGGAACTTGCAAGGAGCCCACTCCCTCTTGGGGGATCAGTGGAATGGAGTGGAGAGAAAACAGGCTTTCCAGCCAGACCCCAGGATTGGAACATCAGTGCTGTGAGTTACTACTAGAATTGGCCAGGTTCCTTTCTTGGATCTTTTTTAAAATTTTTTATCTTCACTTGAGGACATGTTGTTTTTTAAATTGATTTTTAGAGAGAGAACGCGATAGAGAAACATCGATCTGTTGCCTCTTGCACATGCCATGACCAGGGATAGAACCCGCAAACTTTTGGTGTATGGGATGATGCACCAACCAGCTGAGCCACTCTGCTAGGGCCTTTCTTGGATCTTTAATTTTTTACCTCTAAAGTGATGAGAGCAATTCCATCTTTCAGGGGTATGGAGGATTAAGTATGCTGGTACATGTAAAGTATGAGGTACATTGTTGGTGCTTACACCAGGTGTCTGGCTACTATTAACTTAAAGAAACAACAACAAAGACACTTTTACCTAAAAGTATTTGTTAATGGAATAGATTTGCTCTTATGATCTTAATGAAAGGGCATTTAAATTCTTTAAAAAATTTTTAAAAAGTCATCAATTAGTGTTTACCTTTTCTTTATTATTTTTAAACTTTATATCTATTGTTTACACTATTACAGATGTCCCCATTCCCCACCCCCTTTGCCCACCTCAGTGTTTACGCTTTAAAAGCCGCTTTTAAAATCCAGTGGGCTGTGATTATTTCTGTACATGATAACTTCATTAATTACCAACTTCTGGATCAGGCTTTTCTGTGCAGCTCGGTAGGTGCTGTTTGTAAGTGAGCCAGCTTTGCAAATAAACCGACATGTACAGGTGGCATTTAATAATAGTATAGCACACATCCTTTGTCTTCCCGCGTGGTTACATCATTTGCTGTTGATAGTATAGCCAGCATTCCTGTGATACTCATTAGCAATCATGTCTTGCTCGGAGGAGATATGGTTCCTCTCTTCATGCCCATTGGCTTAGGTCATGGGGGGCACTTTTTAGGTGCCAAGGAACAGGGTTTCCAATTATTTAATGTTTTGCATATTTTCCTTCTCTAAATGCCTCCCTTACGCCAGCCCACCCTTGTGCTTGTCACTGGCTGCTTCGGTGATCCTAGACGTGTGCCTGCTTCTCCAGCCGTGCGGGAGACACGCTTCACCTTGGGGCCCCGCCCTTCAAAGGTTGCGTTTGCTGCACGAAGAACAGTTGACTCTGCCCATAGGGAACGTCTCATTGCACCCCTTTTCCACGCCATCTGTCTGACCTGGACCCATTCCAAACGCTCCGGCTTTGCTGGCAGAATGATCTTCCTGCTACAGAAGTTTTGTAATCTACTAATTGACAGGGTAAGGAAAATTTATATTTGGGTTACAGCTGAAAAGTTGGATGTTTCTTTGATGGGGATTTAAATACTGACATATGCTGCATTGGTTTTTGATTTTAGGCATTCCCATTTGTGCATGATCACGCACGCTCCCCTGTGTTCTCTGCCTCATTGAGAATATGGCATCCTTTGGAGAAGAACATCAATATGATCTACCAGGGAATTATCCTCTACTTAGTTTACTCATTAAGCAATGATTTTATTATTATTATCTCTTTGTAGTATGAGACAGATGGCAAAGAAGGAGTTTGCTTTATTGAACAAGATGCAGTCTCGGGCATGGCCGATCTCCCTGAATGGTTAATACCTTCAGTAATCATTCTGTCTAGTAAGTATCTTTACTTTTGTGCAAGGCCTGGTCCTACACTCAGCTCTCAATTTAAGTGCGAAGTTGTTATCAATCCTCTTTTTGTACACGTGAGCTGAGGGCAGAAGGATGCCAGAGAAGGAAATACCATGAAAATCGTGCTATTCAAGTTGACATTTGTGGTTGTCCTCATCTTGGAATTGTGTTTTAAAACCCAGTGTGGATTAGCTCCCCATCAGTGAGTGTGGTCATGCTCACTGATCCAGACCCGCACCCCTGGAACACAGTCCTCTCTGCACGGAAGCTACATGCATGTGCCGGGGGTAGTGCATACGTGTGGTATGATGCTGTGCCTTGGTCTCCATGGGCCCCTCTCCCATGCAGCCCCCTCAGCTTGCCCTGAACAATGCTCTGCATGAGGAAAGATGAGAATAAAAGAGGATTTCTTCCCTACCTTTGAAAACTTCAAAGAAAATGTTCCCAATCTGGTTCTGATGATCCCAGTCTCAGTGCAAAGCATACATAAAGATCTGAAACCCGCACACGGATCGGAAATGGTTTTTGGAAAGTCAGATTTAATCCTACGAGCCAAGTGATCACTACCAACAGAGATCAGGAAAACCCAAAGTCCACAGCAAATTTTAATTTGGCGAATGCATAAAATGTTCAAAAGAGCAGAGGTCTCATTTACATTCCTCCCTCTTATATGGGATTTTCTTCCATATTAGTAATTAAAGGATGCAGGCTCTAGAGCGCAACTATATCACATAATAGCCATCGGGGACACACTAACAACTTCCTTGAAGTAACGCACACTAGGGTGTTTATGGTTCAGTGTCACATAGACTCTCTTTGATCTAAATTAGGATTCATTGGCAAACTCACAATAGGCTCCACATGTACCCCTCTCAACCTCTTTCTTTTAATCATGGAAATTAGAGATGGAAAATACCCATTAAGTCACTTAGTCCACTTCCCTGCCAGGGTGAAATTGTTGCCTGTGATACATGGGTAATGCGTGGTCCAGCTTAAATGTAAATGTCTCAGGGGATAGGTAGGCTCCTGATTTTATAATGTTCCCCTTTCTCTAACAACTCAGAGGGAGAAAAATAGAAAACAGAGGAAGAAATTTCCTTTGCTCCTTCTGGGTTGGAGGTAAATGTCAGTGGGTGAGTGTCAGCTTTCTGGATACCACAGCCCTTGCTCTTAGGACAGTTTCCTCACTCATAAGGTACACAGATTCCACCCCTGTCCCCATCATGTTGTACCGTGTAGCTCCGTGGGACTCTCCAGATTCAGGGACTGCCCCTATAAACTTGGGCAAGCAAGCAGTGCAGATTTGGTGAGGGAGGTGAGGCTCAGCAGAGGAGAAGCTGTCTCTTCAGCTTCCTGGTTGATTGGCTATGAACTGCACAGGCCCTCCTGGCTGGCGTGTGATGTCACTGCTGTGGTGTGAGCTCATGGATGGAACGCTGCCAAGCCTACCCTGGGGAGTGACCAGCTGAGGTCTTTTATGCTTTGAACATTTGGCATCTGAAAGATGAGAAATGTGTGTGTTGCACAATGAATGCTCGCCCTGACTCATGTTCAGCAGCAGAAGACTGTCGCTCAGCATCTGCCCACATCTCCAGCTGTTGAAGTCAGTTAATGGGAAAGAAGCGAAAACCCCATGATGATCTCCCAAGTGGGATCTCCATGAGACGCAGGGCAGTGACTGAGATGAGGCTTCAAAAGGGAAATGCTGGCCCATTACGACATTTGTATTTTGGGTTTGTTTCAGAGGCTTTCTTTTAGTCATTGGTGAGATCGCACCAACTTAGAAAGTCTGATCAGTGGACATTTCAGAGTCGGATACAGATGTGTTAGAGTGTGATTATTCACATATAAGATGGGTTTCATTAAATGGCTAACTTCACTGCAGGTTTCATGAAATAGCTAACTTAATGTATTTGAAGGAGGATCAGGTTTGCAAACTCTGATGTATTTTCAAAGGTCTTCTGAAGATACCTAGTCTGGTTTCTATGAGACAGAAAAGGTCTTTGGGAGTGTCTGCATTAACTGCATTTCCAGAGACATTTTCAGGGCTTCTACAATGTATTTCTGGAATGATTCTTATTTTAAACTAGAGGCTCAGTGCACAAAAACTTGTGCACTCAGGGGGGTCCCTCAGCCTGGCCTGTGCCCTCTCGCAGTCTGGGACCCCTTGGGGGATGTCCACTTGCCAGCGGGGAGTAGGCCTAAGCTGCAGTCGGACATCCTTAGCGCTGCTGAGGAGGCAGGAGAGGCTCCTGCCACCACTGTTGTGCTGGCATCCTTCAGCCTGGCTTGTGGCTGAGCAGAGTTCCCCCTGTGGGAGCACAGTGACCACCAGGGGGCAGCTCCTGCATTGAGCATCTGCCCCCTGAAGTTGTGTCATAGTGACCAGTCATCCCCAGTCGTTCTGCTGTTAGCGTCAATTTGCATATTACCCTTTTATTATATAGGATAGGGGCCTGGTGCATTGGTGGGGGCCGGCTGGTTTGCCCTGAAGGGTGTCCCCGATCAGGGTGGGTGTCACTGGGGTGCCTGGCCAGCCTGGGTGAGGGGCTGATGGCCGTTTTCAGGCTGGCCACGCCCCCCAGGGACCCAAGCTCCCAGCCTCTCCTTTTTTCTTTTCTTTTTTTTTGGCGGGCTGGAAGCAGGTATCTGGGATTTATTTATCTTCTATAATTGAAACTTTGTAGCTTTGAGCGGAGCCCAGGGTCAGCCAGGGCAGGTGGGAAGCTTGGCTTCCTCCAACACCGGGGGCAACCCAAGCCTCCTGCTTGCTCCAGCTCTGTGGCCACTGCCATCTTAGTTGGGTTAATTTGCATACTCACTCCTGATTGGCTGGTGGGCATGGTTTGTGGGTGTAGTGAGTGGCGGAGTGACAGAGTGATGGTTAATTTGCATCTTTCTCTTTTATTAGTGTAGATACTCTGGGATGGTAACAGATAATGGGTCTGGAATAAGGAGGGGAGAAGGGTGGGAGGGAAGAGGTCAGAATCAGTTCTAAGTTGATGGTCTAGAATTTGAATTCTACTGGATGCAGTTCTAATACTGGGGCCTGTACTTTGCTGATGGAAAAGCAGATGCGGCAGAGACTGCTTGTTGTTATCCCCACATCCATTCTCCCGATGTGTAATGCCTGTTTCCCACCCACCCTCAGGCTGTCTCCCAGTAGCCTGGCATGGCGATGTAAGGGAAGTGATGTGGCGCCTCCTGCTGTGTGTAGTTATGAGGCACGCCTGCCCCCTCCTTTCTCTCGCTGCCAGCCTGGGAAGTGGACATGATGGCTGGAGCTCCAGCTGCCATCTTATACCCAGGGATGCAGACCATGTCCTAGAAGTGCCTGAAGGTGGCTGAGTCCCAGATAATTTCCTGGAGATGCCAGCCTAACCCTGAGGAACCTGCCTCTACACTTCTTTGAAAACAACAGAATAAAATTCTGTGTGTTAAAGTCACTGTTTTCTGCACCAAAGCTATCCTGATTCGGTAGATACTTAACATCTTCTTAAAGTCTAAATATCGCAGTCTCAGTCCATAATCATTGCCAGCTCACGTTTATTCCTCTAAACATGATCTTGAAATGTTTGGAGAGATGGGCCCATGGAATAACCCCAAACTTATAGATTCCTAAACATACGATTAGCTCAAATAACCAAATGCACATTGAGAAGGAGTTGTTCAGGTTTGTGTATGTTCTGTTCACAGATGTAGGCAGGTATTCCCTAAAGGATTTAATGAGAACACGGCCCCCAGATAATGTAGTGTGATTGACAACAGAGGGAGGCCAAGGAATAGAGTGAGGGGGAAGTCAGGGCCAGGACAAGGTAGAAATGGACAGGGGTATAGAAAGGCAGGTCCAAACGGGTGAATAGACATGAGACCAGTGTGGTGTGAGGACAAAACACATTAGGATGTGAAGTTAGAAACGGTTTTCATCCTAAAATGAGAGGCATTAGGATTTAGAGCCATTTGTCATGCACTTGTCACTTTTTCTTCCCTTTGCTGTCCCTCCTCCCCCACGTCCAGCAGGAGTCCTGAGGCCACAGCACCTCCTCGGTGGCTTGGTGGCTTGATTGCTCTCCCAGGCTGTGACATCTTGCTTTCCACATGTGTCCAGTTGCATGGATTCCTGCTTTATATCATCCAGGTAAGTACGACCTCACAGAAGGAGGACAGGAGTGTCAAAATATTCCTGTAAAGAAACTGCTGCTTCTGCTCATCATTCTGGTCTTATCTCCAAGGGAAGAAGAACATGGCAAAGCTGGCGCTTCTTGTGCTCCTTGGATGAGCTCCTCGTCCACCCAGGTACTTCATTAAATGTAAATGTAATGACAGTTCAGGCTAGTCGGGGCTGAGAGAAGCTAAAACAGTTTTTAATTGATTAAGAAGGCTCTTTGAAATATGGATTTATATCCTCAGTCATTAGCAATGAACTTGGCCTCTGTGTATACTATGCTCTGAAATATCAGGTAATAATATCTAATCAGGTACATGCATATAATTTATAAATAAATAGATAGATAAATAAACATTTATTAGAGGGTTGTTCTTAAATTGTTCCCTATGGAGATGATGAGATAAACCAAGTTTTAGGACCCTGGTACAGGCTACAAACGCTCAGACTGTATTTGAGCTTCCTAGCAGCTTTAACAAATGAGAATGTGTGTGTGTGTGTGTGTGTGTGTGTGTGTGTGTGTGTGAGAGAGAGAGAGAGAGAGAGAGAGAGAGAGAGAGAGAGAGAGATGGACCATTAGGACATAATTTTTATCCTCAAAAACGACAAGGCATAGTAGTTCCTCAAGGTAAATAAAGCTTTTCTCAGCTTAAAAAAAGTTTTTTATATGGTCTTTCCTATGGGGACTGGACCATATCCCCTCAATGTTTCCCATTGCAGATGCTGCAAGAGTTTCATTTGACTGCGTCACCAAGGATTTTTGATAAATGTTCACAGCACAGTATCTAAATGCAACTCGAGGAAATAAGTTCTGCCAGCGACCAGGACAACACCACCCAGGTACTTCCCTCTCCAGCAGGGCATCTAAATGCCAGGATTGGTCGTAGAACAAGCACGTCCTCTATCATCGTGCTTCCTCCAGAGGGGCTTGGGGTGGAGCTGCTGGCAGCCGGCCTGGTCTATGGCTCTCTGGTGAGGGCTGGAGTGTTCATCACCTGAGGTGCTAGTCAGGGCAGATCCACCTGCTGGGTAAACTAAACAGAGATGCTGTCTTGTTGAGACAACAAAGGAAATGGCCTGACCTGGGTGGAGCACCATCCAACCTGGGCCAAGAGGGTGGTACCCAGGGCAAAGCCACATCTGATACATTGGGCCCAGCTCATATGGGATCCCCAAAGCCAAGTGGAAGTTTGCTCCACTCATGGTCTTGATCGGATTTCAGGCAGCAGAATTCTCGAACGCTTTCAGATCTCAATGACTGCCTTCCCTAACCCTGAGGTGTGTGTTTCTTAGGCCGTCACTGGCTGGTCAGGAACATGAATCCCGGAACCAGGCTATGAGTTTTGAACTCTGGCTCCACCGGGTACTAAATGTGAGATCGTGGGAATTTACCTCTCTTCTCTTTGCCTTCGTTTTCCCATTTGTCAGAACAAATAAATAAAGGATGAGAATAGTATCTCATAACGCTGAGAATTAAATGAGTAAACCACCTGTAACCCACTCAGGACAGTGTCTGGAACCTAGTAAGTGCCCAGTAAATGTTGGCGATTCGACATTATGAGCAGAAGGGCACATAAATGGAAGGACATGCTGGGCTCTGGAACCCGGCTGTCTGAGTCAAACCTTGACTGGCCGTGTCCCACTGTGTGGTCTCCTTGGTTCCTTCTTTGTAACATGGGACTAGGGGGCGTGCAGTGGGGCCCTGGGTCAGTCAGGGTGGACGGCCGGCAGGATGGAGGCGACTTTGGAAGACAGACACAATGAAGAATCCATCCATTGTTGGAATCTGAGCAGATTCCCAAGGACTTAGCCTGGCTGCGTGGGACCCGTCAGAGGGGCATGTTGGGTGATATCTGTTCTGGCCCAGCAAGCGCCTAAGCTAACCTCAGACCCCACTGCTACTGCTGTGGTGTGTCTAGAATCAGATAATGGGAACGTTATGACCCAGAAACATGACGGTATCACAGTGACAGCTCACAGAATGGACCCCTTGACGTCTCCCAGCAGTTCTCCAGCAGCCTGTCACAGGGACTCAGGCCTGTTGGTGAATTATCTTACGCACTGTTCAAGTTTCAGTGTGACGATATTCACTGGATGTGCTTTGGGCACATTTGTATTAATTTTAGGATAAGCTGCTTTTGGACACTCTATGGCCTGACATCAAAATATTAGTAAGGATCTTGTTTTGCAGCAGCAGGTCCACGTGACTGTATATAGAATTCTATTATGTTCAATAACTCTGGTTGGAGGAAAAACAAACAAACAAACAAACAAACAAACAAACAAACAAACAAAGACACCCGGTCCTAGGGCTGGCACCGTGCACGCGATGGCATCCAGAATACTGTCAGGGCAGGAGCTGTGCATGGTGAGCAGTGAGTGTTGCCTGTTACTCCTGTAAATGCTGTGTCCATAACTGGGGTCTTTGCAGTGCAAACCTTCAGCTTTCAGGTGGGTTTACATCTGAAGAGCTCAGTTTTTACTGTTACCCTATAACTATTGACGGATGGGTTGATGTTTGGCTTAAATTCAAACCAGGCCCTTCACCCGTTTGCCTGACTTAGCACTGGCATTGGCCCCCTTTCCTTGTGCTGAGTCCCTTCCGTCTGTGCACAGTGATTGCCAGGGCATTGCCTAAACAAGCTATAGCAGCCCACACTTTCCTTTGCGAATTTTTCTTCCGGAGTTTGGTTAACATCTCTGAAGCAGCAAACTCGTGATTTGTTTCACCGTATCCTCCTGAGGGACCCAGCTCTGTCGAAATCCTCTGACCTTCCTTTGGGCTTCCTCCCTCCTCCTGCCTCCCTGCTCCCTCCTCCCTCTCCCCTCTCTCCCTCCTTCCTTTTCCTTGTCTCTCTCCCTCTTCGCTCCCCTCCGTGCTCGTGCTCGATGACATTTTCTCAGAAGTTGCCCAAACTGTGACACTGCTTAGCAGACTGAAAACTTGCAACACAAGCAACGAGAGCTGCTCTTCTTGGTTACACGCTGGGTGTGTTTGTCCCAGCTCCAAGGTGAAGTTTGAAATACATTTGGATGATGTTTTAGGCATCTCCTCGCCCCCTACATTCTACTTGCCAGGTTCTTCATATGCAACAATTATTGGCCTCAACTTGCAAACAGAGCCCCAGGATGGCTTTCCGGCGGGGGCGGGGGGGGGGGGGGCACGTCCTCCGGATCAGTTAGATGTGCTTGTGCTGGTGGCCCAGCTGAGACACCTGGGACCTCATTAAAGATGGGTTGAAGAGGATGCCAAAGGGCTTTTTAAAAATTTAAATCTCCTAAACCACAAAACCCTCATGCTCTGTATCTGCACTATAGTTTGCTGGTATACAATAATATGCATACTGGTTGCTTGAAGGTGGAAATCTGTCTGTGCCCACTGGTAGATTGCCCCTGCCCCAAGCCCTATGCCATGCCCCCCCTCCCCCTGGCTGCTCTGGAACCCACAGGAACCCCCTCATCATGTTCCCATGATCCAGAATATCACACCTGGATTAGGCCAGATGTGAGGTTGAGTTTTGAAGGGCCTCACCATGCTACAGATCTGGCCCTAGCAAGCCTCTGGACTCCGCCATCTGCCCTCTCAGAGTCTCTTTCTTTTTTTTTTTTTTTTTAATATATTTTTTATTGATTAAGATATTACATATGTGTCCTTGTCCCCACGTTACCCTCTACCCCCCCCCCCCCGCTCATGCCCTCACCCCCCCGTTGTCCATGTCCATTGATTAGGCCTATATGCTTGCATATAAGTCCTTTGGTTGATCTTTCCCCCTTACCCCCACCCTCCCCTACCTTCCCTCCAAGTCCCGACAGTCCAATCAATGCCTCTCCGTCTCTGGATCAGTCCTTGTTCATCAGCTTATGTTGTTCATTATATTCCACAAATGAGTGAGATCATGTGGTATTTATCCGCTCTCCAGTTCCATCCATGCTGTGGCAAATGGTAAGAGTTCCTTTTTCTTCTTCCTCTTCTTAAAGAATACCTTTCAGCATTTCAGATAATGCTGGTTTGGTGGTGATAAACTCCTTTAGCTTTTTCTTATCCGTGAAGCTCTTTATCTGACCTTCTATTCTGAATGATAGCTTTGCTGGATAAAGTAATCTTGGTTGCAGGTTCTTGCTATTCATCACTTTGAATATTTCTTGCCAGTCTCTTCTGGCCTGCATGGCTTCTGTTGAGAAATCAGCTGACAGTCGTATGGGTACTCCCTTGTAGGTAACTGACTGTCTTTCTCTTGCTGCTTTTAAGATTCTCTCTTTATCTTTTGCTCTTGGCATTTTAATTATGATGTGTCTTGGTGTGGTCCTCCTTGGATTCCTTTTGTTTGGGGTTCTCTGCGCTTCCTGGACTTGTAAGTCCATTTCTTTCACCAGGTAGGGGAAGTTTTCTGTCATTATTTCTTCAAAAAGGTTTTCAATATCTTGCCCTCTCTCTCCTTCTGGTACCCCTATAATTCTGATGTTGGTACGCTTGAAGTTGTCCCAGTGGTTCCTTACACTATCTTCATATTTTTGGAATCTCTTTTCTTTTTTCTTTTTCGGTTGGGTATTTTTTGTTTCTTTGTATTTCAAATCTTTGACTTGATTCTTGGGATCCTCTTGTCTACTGCTGGATCTCTGTAAATTATTCTTTATTTCAGTCAGTGTATGCTTAATTTCTAGTTGGTCCTTTTTCATGTCCTCCATGGTCTCACTATACTTATTGAGGGATTCATTAAATTTATCGGCGGTTTCCATAAAATTCTTGAAAAACCTTATAAACGTGGCCTTGAACTCTATATCCAATCGTTTGCTTTCCTCCATTTCTGCCATTTGTGACCTGTTTCTTTGTCTCCGCATTTTGGCAGCTTCCCTGTGTTGATAGAGTGGCCCTGTGCGCCAGGTGTCCTGTAGGGCCCAGTAGCTCAGCCTCCCCAGTTACCTGGGGTGGACACTCTTGGTGCACTCTTGGTGCCTTGGTTGTTGTAGAATCACTGGGAGGAATTGACCTCCAGGCCAATTGGCTGTGAGAATCAGCTGTGTCTAAAGTGGGAGAAGTTCTGTGCTGAAGACACCCTTCTGGGGCAAGACTTGCTTCAGTGGGGCTTTGGTGCTCACTGAGTCTGCTCCCTGAGTGTGTCCCTTATGGATCTGAGGAGTTGCAGTCTGGATGGTCCCCCTCTGACCACTGGGTACAGTGGCTCCTGGATCTAAGGAGGTGCTAATTCAGCCTCTGCCTGAAGCCACACAGCAGGAGCCACGAAGAGGCTCAGCTGTGAAGCAATGCAAGCCGCTGCGGGGCCTTGGGCCTTCTCTTGGAAGTTCTGGGTCTGCCTGGCTAGGCTGCAGTTAGGTACATTCACATGCAAAAGCCTCTGCCGCAGCCTGGGTGGGGCGGGGTCTCAGGAATCAAAGGGCGGAGAAAGCAGCTATGGCCGATTCTCCGCCCGGAGTCACGCGTCTCAGTGTCCCGGTAACGGCTGCAAGCACCTCTGAGGGAAAGCCGCCCTCAAGTTCGCCCGCTGCCGGACAGACCAGCCTCTCCCCGTATGAGTCCTGGGTCCCCAGAGACTTCCTGGAACCGGAGTTCAGAGCCGTGGGGAGCTTGTGATTCCAAAAAGACAGCCGCGTCCTCAGGCGCCACCCCCTTCCCTCGTGCGCTTGAGCCGCCGTACCTCTGCACTTCACCTCCGCAGCGCCTCTGGCTCTCAGCGTGCTTTTCTTTCCTTCTAGTTGTAGAATTTACACTCAGCCAGCCTTCCTGTTGTTCTGGATGATGTTTGCTCAGTCCTTTGCGGTAATTTTCAATTGTTGTGTGAGGCGACAATTTCCCGGTGTTTACCTATGCCGCCATCTTAGTT